GGGAGGGTTTGAAAGGGTTTATAAGGCTTGGGTGAGATACTTGGGGTGTGCCCCAAGGGGTACCCTTAGGGCAAGAAAAGAAAGTTTGTTGGCTTGTAATATCCCTTTATGGATTAAAACAAGCACCTAAGTAATGGCATGAAAAATTTGATCATGCAATGCTTACTAATGGGTTTAAGATAAACGAATGTGGCAAATGCGCTATGTTAAAAACACTGACCAAGGATATGTCATAGTTTGTCTTTATGTGGATGACATGCTTATCATTGGAAGCAGTCAAAACATGATCAAATCAACTAAGCAGATGCTTAACAAAAGATTTGATATGAAAGATATGGGGGTCGCAGATGTTATATTAGGAATGAAAATTACTAAAACATCTGACGGATATGCATTATCTCAATCTCATTATATTGAGAAAATTCTTGATAAATTTATCAAGGATGATTTGAATGAAGCTAGAACACCTGTAGACATCAGTCTTTATTTATCGAAAAATAAAGATGATACAGTGTCTCAGTTAAAATACTCCCAAATCATTGGAAGCCTAATGTACCTAATGAATTGTACTCGTCCTGACATAGCTTACGCAGTCAGTAAATTTAGTAGGTATACTAGTAATCTCGAAGAAGACCATTGGAAAGCGATCATTCGGGCTTTTAGATATCTAATATTTACTCGTAATCATAGTTTGAACTTTACTCGATATCCAGCAGTACTCGAAGATTATTGTGATGCCAATTGGATATCGGATACTAAAGATTCAAAATCCATTGGTGGATGAGTAATGCTAGAGACCCCAAATATTCTACCAAAAGTTTTACCAAATGTCTCACATGGGTGTGGGACCCACACAATGTGGGTCCCATGTGGTGTGGGTCCCACACCCATGTGAGGCATTTGATAAAACTTTTGGTAGAATTTTTGGGACCTCTAGCATTTTTGTTAGTGGATATGTCTTTACTCTGGGAGGCGCTACTGTTTCTTGGAAGGCCACAAAACAAACATGCATTGCACAATCCACAATGGAATCTGAGTTCATTGCTTTAGACAAAGTAGGAGAAGAAGCAGAATGACTTCGTCACTTCTTAGAAAACATTCCAATGTAGCCTAAACCTGTGCCAGCTATTTACATTTATTGTGATAGTCAATCTGTAATAGGCAGGGCACAAAATCATATGTATAATGGCAAGTCACGACATATTCGTCGTCGACATAATACCGTAAGGCAATTGCTTTCAAATGGAATAATCTCAATAGTTTATATAAAATCTAAAGAAAATATTGCGGATCCGTTAACAAAAGGTTTGACAAAAAAACAAGTGTATAGTTCATCAATGGAGATGGGATTAACGCCTATTACATAAAAGTCATCATAATGGTAACAATACTTATATGACTAGAGATCCCAAGAACTAAGTTCAAAGGGACAACTAAGTTATGTGTGGCTCGCTAGAAATCACTAAGGGATTAAAATTCCCTATCCATTCCTATGGTGAGAGTGATATCTGCAACATGTGTTGTCTGCAGGGCATAAGGATAAGCTTCGGTTTTAATGATTACTTATATCTTTATTAAGGCATAAAATCAAGACGAGTATAAGGAGATACTCACAATAAGAATCACCTATATGAGTGTCGAACGGGGGGCCGGTTCTACGAGAATGAAAGAGGCTAAATTCTCTAGAAACACTCATAAAAACCAGGAGCATTCAAGGCCAAAATGAACACAACAGTGAGAACCACGATGTGTTAGAAGATATTTTGTGTGAAATCTATTATCTTGACTTATACAAACAGCTGAACAATTCAAGGCATCGTGTCCATTGGTTAGCTAGTAAGTCCGATAGGTTATCACTAGGGAAGGTTCAAGACCAAAAGCTACCTATCATGATGCAAGATATTTTCGATTTATACTATTTCGACAAATTATGCATACTGTTGCATTTTCGTTGTCATTAAATTCCATTCATGTGGGGGATTGTTAGTAATGTTTTGAAAATTCTGGGTAAAAATAGAATTTTTATTAAACTTTGATCTAATATTTAGGTGGGACCCGTGCGTCAATTTTCGCAGGTCAAAGTGGTAACGCGTTCTATGCCGCGTTTTGATTCACGTGGTATATTTGCTTACTCAAAACCATTATCGAGTGAATGGGAAATTAAAGCCCAAGTGTACTCTATGGAAATGGAGTTTTGGTGGAAAATCCTTAAGGTGTGTATAATGGCTTGTCCCACATTGATTTAGTGGAAAGTTTTGAATGGGTTTATAAGGCATGGGATTAGAACTTGGGGTGTGCCCCAAGGGGAGGTTATGGGCAAAATGGGCTAGACCCATTGGACCCAAAAATCACCACACATGCGCGCGCCACCGCCGTCCGTCCGGTCGGGCGGGCTGGGCTTGGGCGCGGGTGCATGGTGTGAGGTTGGGTTGGCTTGTCCGGCCCAATATTAATCTTTTTGGGTCAAAAACATTTGGATTTAATTTTATTTTTTGAAATAAAATCTGTCAAACTGTCCAAAATTGAAATTAATTCCGGAATTAAATTGTTTCGGTTTTTCCTTACACCCAAACAAGTCCCTACGGTTTTTTTAATCTGTTCAAATTTGAATCCAATAGATTTGTATTTGTTTATTCTAATTGAACAGGTATCATACCTGTTCAAACAGGTTCTGCACCTGTTTAATTCAAACTCAATAGCCATAAATTCTCTTATAAATAGACAGCCCTCATTTGATATTTCACTAACTAATTTTCGTCCAAAATAATTCTGCATCTATTCTCTTAATATTGCTACATTATTTTCTTGTGAGAGAGAGTATAAACACTTATTGTGTTCGTCGTATGAAAAATTTGTAGTGCTATTGTTGATCATTTTATCCTAGGAGATAGACATCCGTATTCTAAAAGCACCGTGGAGATGACGAATCTGTCTTATGGACACAGTGCCGAACACTGAACTTGATCAGATTATTATTCGAAGAACTTAATCAAGTAAGTTAATTAATTTTCTGTTTTATTTGTTTATTTAAATCAGATTTTAATTTTATTTTTGTGACAAAATAAAATCTGTTTTTATTTATTTATTGTTTATTTCTAGTTTGATTTTTGTAATCAAACAATTTCTCTCATTTTCTTTATTTCTTTTATATTCTAGTTGTTGTTAAGTACACAACATAATTTAATTTATTTAAATACAGTGAAGATTGTCTAACAATTTTACTAGTTCTTATAGAAATTTTTAAAAAGTTCATGTGAGTTTCTCTTTTATACTAAATTGAAAATTAAAAAATCGACAAAATTAAACGGAAGCATGCAAGCGGCTCAAGTCAGTGCTAATTTTTACTTCAACCCTCATTTACTGTAATGCATCAGTAATTGATATGTATGTAGCGTTTAATTTTGTTAGAGTTGGTTGACTCCAAGTCCTCTCTCTCGTTGTTTGATTTAGTTTTCGCTATGTTATTTGGCGTTCTTCATCTTTGTTTTGCTTTTTATGCATATGTTGTTGGCCATTGTCTTCAATTATAATAGCACAAGAGCTAGAGTAGATTGGTTTTTGTTCTTGTTTCTACCTGAACTCCTTACATAGATTACAAGTTGCTATATGTTTCAATAGCCTGTCCAGTAAATAATACTACAATTAAGAGAGAACAAAATTAATAGAAAGATCAAACACTCAATATACATACCCAAATCATTTACTGACTCAAAAGTTAAGGAAAAAAAAGATCTCTTAAGTCATCACCTACCCTTCGGATTGACAATTTGTGAGAAGATATCATCAGTTTCATCGTCTAAATCCTTTATATCATGCTCACTTCCAAGGCTCAAGGTATTCCTGTGCATCGCCAATATATTTTTTTGATCAATTTCTCTGGGTTGGTCATAATCCACGCTTCCTGATCCTGATGAGGTTGGTTTTGCACTGCCATCTGGGTTTTCTTCCAACTGGAGAGCGCTCTCAAGGTTCCACAAAACATCACCCATTGAAGGGCGATCCGTTCCATGATCAGCTAAACACTTCTCAGCGCACTCTGCAAACTTCTTTAAGCATTCTGGGTTTATTTTTCCCTTAAGATGGGGATCAATGAGGTCCTCTAGAGTTCCTTTCCTCTGGCAACGTAGAGCCCAATCAGCTAGACTAACTTGTTCCTTTGGAAGGCTTGGATTGAGAGCTGGTCTCGCGCACACCACCTCAAAAAGAACAACACCAAAAGAGTACACATCTGACTTCTCTGTCAATTGTTGCCGCCTAAAGTATTCAGGATCCAAGTAACCAAAACTACCTTTCACTACTGTACTAACATGGCCTTGATTCATGTTAGGACCTGTTTTGGAGAGCCCAAAGTCTGAGACTTTGGCAACCCAGCTTTCATCCAAGAGAATGTTTGTCGTCTTGACATCCCTATGGATGATGGTGTACTTGGCCCCAGTGTGAAGGTAGTGAAGTCCTCTAGCAGCTCCAATGCAAATCTCCAACCTCTGCTTCCAAGAAAGAGTAATTTTGTTGTTCTTGTAGAGATGCTCCCTCAATGTTCCATGACCCATGTAATCATAAACCAAGACCATCTCATTGTTTTCTTCACAAAATCCAATCAGAGAGACCAAGTGTCTGTGCCTTAGCTTGGAAAGCATTTCAATTTCAGTCTCGAACTCATTTACTCCTTGCTCAGAAGACGGGTTTGATCTTTTAATAGCCACTTTGGTATTTCCATCAATGACACCCTTGTAAACCTTCCCAAATCCACCAACACCAATAACGTAAGATTCATCAAAATTCTTGGTGGCTTGTTTTATCTCGGCCAAGGAGAAAAACCGACAGTTGCTCGCAGCATCAGATGAAATGTGGGTGCTACCAGGACTTTTTCCTGAAATTGTAGATTTGCTAACTGAAGCTTGGGAGCTGCTGTAGATTGGTAGCCAACTAGAAGTGTGTGTGTCGCCACCCGAGAGCATCTGCTTTCGCTTGTAGCCAATGAACATTGCTGCGACAAAGGCAAAAGCAACTGCTCCTCCAGCAGCTCCACCAATTAATGCAGTGGTATAGATTTTCTTAGCTTCGTCAGTAGAGAAAGTCTTGTTGGTGTTCTCTACTAACTGCTTCTGCATCATGTCTGATATGGTAGGGTTGGGGCCTGCCAAATTTGAATTTGCATCACTAAGCTTGAATATCTCTAACCCATTCAGAATTGCATCAAGATAATGAGGACGCATTGAGTTATCAGGCCAAAGTGCTAGCCAAAGCATCTCATCACCTGGTCCATCAGGAACATATATGGCATAATCTTTGTAAAATGGAACATCCTTCTTACTTGACCATGCAATCACATCAGCATTTTTCATCGCAGTCTGATTGTTGATGAATATATCAAAAACTCTCTCGTTAATCTTGTTTAATTCATACTCGCAAAAATGGAGCCTTACAAGGTAGGTAAAATTCGCATCAACTTGGAAAATCCACGTGAGATTAAAATTCCTAGTGACATTGCCATCAAGACCCATTTGTCTTGAAGTTCTATAAACATCAACTGGAGCTATGGACGCTGAAAAATTTCTATATTGGATTGTGACATTGTTGGCAGCCTCACTGGTGACTCCACTTGCAGCCCCAAAAATATAAGGTGAATCGTCATACCAACTGCGGGCAAGACCAGAGGAGTCATTAGTCGAAGGAATATATTGGCCACCGACATTCAATCTCCACATTGTTTGGACATTTGCAGATGTGACATCGAGGGGTTGGTCATCAAACCCCACCATTGACGCAGAATCAAACAAGTTTGGCGATGGTATCAACTCTATTCCATTGACAAAAGCAAAAGTCCCATTATACTTGTCTGAAGGCTTAAATCTGACACTAAGAGAATCTGTGTTCAAAGGAGCCAAAGAAAATTCTTTCATAATGTAAGCCTGGGTGAGAGCCTGAGCTGCTATGGAAGCACTAAAATTATTCAAGAGAGTCACCTTATCAGCAACAACCGAGAAATAAGAGTTGGTGGTGTTGAAATTGGGGTAAGAAGAAGGATAGAAATGGAGCCTAAGAAAATATCGACTGCTTTCATTAACTGTGAATTTATAAGTTGTTTCAGATGTGAAAATTCTCGCATTCATGTATGGTATTGAAGAAGTAAGTGAAGGGTCTTGGGTTTGAGCTACAACCTCAACAGATTTATCAGAAGACACTAGGTATTTTGAATCTGATTCCCATTTTCTGCTATCATCATCAGTGCCACCATCTTTGTTACCACAACTCAACGCCAAAGTATTTGGCTCCGAACTCAATGCTTTGAGAGAATTGAAAAAAATAGATATGTATAGGACAGAAAGCAAAATGTGGGTATTGGTGGGCATGGCTACAAACAAAACCTCTAAGGGAAAGGAATGAAATTGGCGTACAGGAAAACAAAGATTGCTTTAGAAAGGAAAACAAAGAGAGAAAAAGAAGTTTCCCTGTACGCCTATTGAAACTGCTTTTCTTGGTTTTCTTTTTGGGAGAATTAACAGGTTAAGCTAGACCATCTCTCATTGTCCATGGAGGTTCAAAGAAGAGATAGTGTATTGAAAATGCATTGACTTCAATGGCTTTCTTTGCTTTCTCTCTCCTCTCTCTCCCTCTGTTGGTCCGTACGTCAATTGCTCCTATGGAAGATGAGTGAATGGGAGTGAAAATCGTGATACGAGGCTCGCTGGTTGATTCTTCATGGCATATAACATCCGGGTCTTCTGCATTTCATTTTTGTCTATTTATATCACACCTATTTGGTACAAGGAGGAGGATCCCCTCCGGTCATTTTTTTGAACTAGAGGGGCTAGTTTCGGCCAGTGGGCCTATCACGAATCTCGATTTGATAATTTAAATTATTTATTTTGTTAGACATTTTATATATTTCATTTAAAAAAAATTAAGTTGATTTGATAATTATAATTAGTTCTATTTATTGCATTTAAAAAAAATAAATAACAAAAAAAATAGATCATGTATTTTTTATGACAAATTTGATAAATTGAACAAATTATAATTATCGGATGGAATTAATGTTTTTTGTAAATGAAATATATGAAATATCCAACAAAATAAACGGTTTGAATTATTAAAACGGGGTCTATAATAAATTCCATGAGTTAAAACAATCCCATCCAATTCAAAACAGTGAAGGGAGGGGATCCTCCTTGATACAAGTTTGTTTTGACAAATACTATAACCATTAAACTAGTAGCAATGCTATAGAGCTTAAAAGATTGACAAAAAAAAATTCTCAAATGTCTCATATAAATGTGAGATCAATCCCAATATGAGATTCACTAAAATTTTTGATCGGGTTTCTAACATTTTTCATAAACTTCGCAAAGTCAATCTCTGTTTTGCTGCTTGATATAATTTTTTTCTTTTTATATTTATTTTCTATTGGTTGTAAAATAAAATAAAAAAAAAAAAAGTTTCAAAATATATTGACGATTTTAATGTCATGTATTTATTAAGATATCTCTCACTTTGAATGTGAGTGTGAGTCTTATTTGTTATGTATTTAGGATCTCTCTCTCACTTTGACTTTTTTTTAAAAAAAAATTAATATTAATTCTGTGTTGTGTTTAATTTAATATTATAATAATAATTTATTAAATTTTGCTATAATAGTATATATAAATTAAAAAAAATAATCACCACACAAATTTGATTCAAGACGATTGAATAATTTGTCATTTTTACAGTGAGTGGGTAAGTTAACACTAGTCAGGCTTCATTTGGTATTAATTTTTTTTTTTTTTGGTAAAAAGTGTAAAAGATAAAATAAACTAAGCCTCCGTTTGGGAAGTGGGTTGGCTTTTTGACTTTTTAGCTTTTTTGACTATTTTAGTCTGGGCTAAAAAGTTTGGTTTGAGAAGAGCTTTTTGACTTTTTGGCTTTTTTTACTTTTTTTGTGAAAAAAGAGTGTAATGATTATGGGTTGGATGTGATGTTTTGTTTTTTGTGGCTAAAATAACCTATTTTGTCTTTTGTGGTTAAAATAGCCAAAAAAACTCGAAAAAACCCTTCCCAAACGGACCCTAAATAAGTTATAGCAAAAAAAAGTCAATTGCCAAACAACAACTCAACATTTATGTAATGCAATAGAATGCCCTCAAAATGTTTTTAATAAATTACACTTGTCTCTTTTAAAATTAAAAACAATTATAGTTAATTTTACATTTTAAATATAATTACAATGATTTCTCTTAAAATTTTAATTTACATCTTAATTATGCTATTTTTATTAATTTTTATTAGTAATATGAATGAAAATTAAAATCTATGTTTAATTTTATTAAAGGATTCCGAATAAGCAAAATTGTAACGCCCTTAAAATAAACTCATAATTCATACATTCATGATACAAGAAATTGATAATATATTTAAGAGAATAAAGTGTAAATCTATTTATCAGAGTATTTATCACAAAAGTATTACATGTTGACAATAAAAGTAAATACCCTACGGGCTTACAACTTTCTAAGCCAACACTTGGTTACAAAAAAAGAGTACTAACTCATACACATTAAGCCCTCAGCTTGAATTTACATGTGATACACAAAAAGTTAAACAACAAAAGGGATCTTCAGCCTTTAACCTCCCAAGTTATGTCCTTGGAGGTGGCATATCACCTGAACCTGAAAATGATGTCCCATGTAGGGTGAGCCAATACCCAGTAGAGATATACTAAACCAAGTATGAGAAATAACTGAAACAATAGCATTTGATATATGGTTGACACTTATAAACTAACTTACAACACTTTTCAATTCAACATCAAGTATATCCATTTTCATTTCAGTTTCCTTCACTTATACAGTTTCGATTCATTACTATGGCTCAGAACCTGGCCAAACAATTCAATCAGACTATAACACATATTAAAACACTTCCATACTTCACAATTCACATGAGAATATAACTCATATTAAAACACTTCCATATTTCAAATGATACACAGATTTGCTATATCAGTGCAGTCCATCCCCTATCTTCTCTCAAACCATGGAGTACATCCCCTATCTCCTTCCAAACAATATACATATACAATGTATTTAAACACTTATCATATACAATGATCAATCAATACATACATTTGCTGTATTATTCTAACCGTCATATTCAATGACATATTTGATGTGATTAGTTTCAATTTTCTCTAATCATCATACAATGTCTACAACAATCAAGACTATCCTCCACTGATAGCCCAAAGCAGTTATCTCTAAACAGATAATAAATTTATCTACAGATAAAATATCGACATTTTCATAGGTGAGTGATTAAATTATCCAACTATACCATTTACTCTCACAATTTTCCAATTTCATGAATTTCACTTCAATTTCACATTTCCCCAAATTAATTATTTAAATTAATTATTCAACATAATTAGGGCATTTTTTCCCTTTTCTCAATATTAGCCCAAAGGCCCAATTTCATCGATTTAACAATAACAATTTCATTTTTCAATGTCTCATACACACATAGGTTTTAACATTTGAAAACCCCCCTTTTTATAACCTCAAATTAAACCCTAACTTTCTCAAAATGACTAACCAACACCATTTAATCAAAATGACCAAAATTTATGTTAAAACTCATAGAATAGAGTAGGTTATCCCTACCTTAATTTTCAGAGCTCAAAGGAGAAGAGAGGTGAAACTCAAAGTGCTCCAAATCTATAACTTTTCAGATTAAAGCGAAGCCCTCGCGAAGCTCTACCTTTCTTCCAAAGGGACTAGGGTAAAAGACCACTAGAACTAGATGAAACCCTAGAGAGAAAGTATATAGAGAGAGAAAGAGCAGCTGGTCTAGGGTTTGTATAAAAGAAGATGATGAAAAAGTGAAGTGTAACCCGCTGCTGCCAACTGATATATTTGAGGCTCGCTCGAGCGAAGGAGTGGTCGCTCGAGCGACCAGACACAAGGAAACCTCGCTCAAGCCAACAAATCGAAGTTTCAGGTCTGCAACCTAGAATTCGCTCGAGCGAAGAAAAGTTCGCTCGAGCGAAGAAACCCAAAACATAGACCTCGCTCGCTCGAGCGAAGAATTGCAACCTTTAGGTCCAGAACCAGACGCAGACACAAGCTTGAGCGCAAGACTTCTCGCTCGAGCCACCAGACACATCACCCAACTCTCGCTCGAGCGAAGGAACCCTGGCTCGAGCAAAGGATCTAAAACACAGAGCTCGCTCGAGCGACAAAAGTCTCGTTCGAACGAAGACACCAAAATCTGGGCAGCAATCATTTGTTTCAAAACACTCTCAACCTGATATAAACCTGCCTAACACATCCTAAAATTCAAATATAAGGAATTAAAGGACGGAAATGAAACAAATGCAACAATACTCAATCGCGGAACCTAAGTCCAGAATACTGTACATAAAGGGAAAAACTCGGGATCGCTATAAAAATTAAGACAAAATACATAGAGTGTAAATTTAGTAACAGTAACAATGAAAGCAAAGGAGAAGTGAAAATTGAGAACCAAAAACTGCCTAAGAGTGAACATTTTCGTTATTTAGGGTCGATTATTACAACAGCGGGAGAATAGGGCTGGCCCTGGGCATAGGCCTACTAGGCTATGGCTTAGGGCCTCTCAAAATAGACCCAAAAAAGGGTCCCATCCTATTATAGTTCAGTGTAATATATTAAGTATGTTTTAAGTCAAAAAAAAAAAATTGAATAAGACCCAAACTAACTTAAAATAAATTGATCCATTAAAAAATTAAAAGGCACATTCAAAATTAAAAGGGCCCATTCTCTCTCCCTATCTCATTTCTAACCCTAACTCTTAATTCAATTTTTCCAAAAATTTGAGAGACGCGTAACAATATAGCATTGACGAATTTCGCAAGAATTTAGAGTAGCATCACAACATAGGTAGGTCTTTTTTTTCTATTCAATTAATTAAATATTTGTCTTATTTTTTGCTCAATTGCTATTATAATATTAGTATTTATACAAATCTGCATCATCAAGAAAAATTAATCTTTTGTTATCTGAAGCGAGGTGTGTGAACTTCAAAGAATTTTTAAAACATTATGAGATTTCTGATATTGGTGGAAGAGATTTATTGATAGAGCTAAAAGTGTTGAAAGAGAGATTGCCAAAAGAAGTCAATAAACCAATTGAAGTGCTCAATCATTTGCAATTGATGGCAAATTGTTTCCCAAATTCATAGGTTGTTTATAGGATACTTTTGACTATTTTGGTTACAATTATATCAGGGGAAAAAAACTTTTCAAAGTTGAAAATGATTAAAAATTACCTTCAATCAACACTGTCACAAGAAAGATTGAATGTATTAGCATTGTTATCCATTGAAAATGATTTTGCAAAAAAACTAGGTTATACAAGTATGATTGATTTATTTGCTTCTAAAAATGGAAAAAGAGCGATGATCAAGTGATACTCATTAGTTGTTGTAATGTAATGCTAAGTATTTTTTTGTGATTTTCACACAATTTTTTTGTCCTTTACCTTCAAATTTTTTTTCGTTGAATAAAAAAAGAATATGTGAAGGGTCCCAAATGATTTAGTGATATTTATTAGTTGATTTTCGGCTTTGGGCACCGAAAATCTCAGGACTGGGCCTGTGGAGGAGATTGACGCGGATGTAGCCCATAAGATTAAGGCGGGATGGTGTAAGTGGAGAAGTGGGTCTGGGGTATTATACGATAAACGAATACCCACTAGATTAAAATGTAAGTTCTATAGAACGTCTATTAGATCAATGACGTTGAGTGTTAGGCAACCAAGAAACAACATGTAGATAAGATGAGTGTGGTTGAGATAAGGATACTAAGATGGATGTGTGGCAAGACTAGACAAAACAAAACAAAATTAGGAATGAGTGTATTCAAGAATGGTAGGAGTAGCATCAATAGAAGATAAATTGAGAGAGAATCGATTGACATAGTTTGGTCATATTCAATAGAGACCAGCAGAGGTAATAGTGAAGAGATGCGATGCATTGACAGTAGATAGAAGTGTTAGGGGACCGAGTAAGCCTAGATTAACGTTGGCTAGCGTTGCAAATAGAGATGTGGATCTACTTATTTTGTCTAACAAAATGGCATTTGATAGAGCCGCGTGAAGAAGAAAGATTCATGTAATCGATTCCATTTAATGAGACTTAAGGCTTGGTTTGGTTGGGTGGGTAATTTCAATGTCTACTTATTATGGATTCGTTTTGCATGCCCCTTGGGGCTAAAGTAGTCATATTAGACAAAATAAGTTATTTTAGTCAAATAGAACAAAATATCATATCCAACCCATAATTATTTCATTTTTTCTCTCACAAAAGTCAAAAAAATTATTTCAAACAAGGTTTTTTAATCCCAAAAAATAGTCAAAAAGTCAAAAAGACAATCCATATCCCAAACAAGCTCTATCTCCTTTTGCTTCAATCACTTTAATTTTATTAAAAGTTATTAAAAGTGAGATCAGAATAATTAGGTTAAAAATATGGGATTAATTGTATTTTTTCTAAACTTTATTATGGAAGTGAATGTAATTTACTCAAAATTTTAAATAAATTACAAATACATTTTTTAAGATTTACTTAAAATATAAATTGATTCATAATTTTAGAAATTACATCATATTCCTTTAAGTTTTTAATTAGATAACAAATTATCTTTTTTATTAATAAATGACCAATTCAAATATCAATTAAAATTATATTTTAATTAATAATTCAAATAATTTTATTTTGTATGAAAGAGTAATTAGAATTTTATTTTTTTATTAAGTATGTTAAATATAAAACAATTCCTATTTTAAATATAATTTAGTCAATTTTTTTTTTTTAAATCTAAATTCTCAAATATAAATGGAAGTCGAAAACTCAAAACGAGACGGAGAGTTCAATGTCTAAAAAAACCCAACCTACCTCCTCAGCTCAGGCTTTTAGAGAGAGAAAGAGGGAGAAAGAGGAGAGAGAGTGAGTCAGTAATAGAGCTTTGTTTGGGATAAGACTCTCTCTCTCTCTCCAAAACCAAAGATGGCCTCTTCCACTCCCACTCCTCACTGTTCTCTCACCACCACAAAGCCCTATCAAAACCACCACTTCCACCACCACCACCACCACCAAAACCTCCCAAACCACCACCACAACCACCGCCAAACCCACCACCACTGGACCTCCCAAAAGGTCGTCTCCCTAACCACCCCCTCGCCGCCGCCAACAGCTCGAAATGCCGCCAAACCTCCTCCCGTCCCCGCCACCACCTCCAAAAAGCCTAATTTCTCTTCTCTCGCCTCCCTCCCTTCAAAATCGGAGCTTTCCTCCGATTTCTCAGGCCGAAGATCAACCCGATTCGTCTCCAAAATGCATTTCGGCCGCCAAAAGACCTCAATTGCGAGCCGACACACTTCGACTGCCGAAGAAGCTCTGCAACAAGCGATTCGATACAGTGGCGGCGATGATAACAGGCATATAGATAGCTTGTTGCGTAATTTCGAATCGAGGCTTTGTGGTACCGATGACTACACGTTCTTGCTTCGAGAGCTTGGTAATCGGGGCGAGTATTCGATGGCGATTCGGTGTTTTGAATTCGCCGTGCAACGAGAGAGAAGGCGAAACGAGCAGGGTAAGCTTGCGAGTGCTATGATTAGTGTTCTTGGCAGATTGGGGAAAGTTGATTTGGCAAAGAAAGTGTTCGATACAGCGGTTAAAGAGGGGTATGGGAACACAGTCTATGCTTATTCGGCTTTAATTAGTGCTTATGCGAAGAGTGGCTTTTGTGATGAAGCCATTAAGGTCTTTGAAACCATGAAAACTTGTGGTTTGAAGCCCAATTTGGTGACCTACAATGCGTTAATTGATGCTTGTGGAAAAGGGGGTGCAGATTTCACACGGGCATCTGTGATTTTCGATGAAATGTTAAGAAATGGGGTGCAGCCTGATCGAATTACGTTTAATTCGCTTCTTGCTGTTTGTAGTGGTGCAGGTTTGTGGGAGACTGGGAGGAACTTGTTTGGTGAGATGGTTTATAGAGGGATTGATCAGGATATTTATACTTACAATACTCTTCTCGATGCTGCTTGCAATGGTGGGCACATGGATGCAGCTTTTGATATAATGTCGGAGATGATCACGAAGAACATATTGCCTAATGAGGTAACTTATAGTATTATGATTCGCGGGTCTGCCAAGGCGGGTAGATTAGATAAAGCATTGAGTTTGTTTAATGAGATGAAGTTTGCCGGTATTAATTTGGATAGAGTTTCTTACAATACTTTGCTCGCTATTTATGCTAGTCTTGGTAGGTTTGAGGAGGCTTTGAGTGTTGGGGATGAGATGGGGAGTATGGGAATTAAGAAAGATGTAGTCACTTATAATGCACTTTTGGATGGGTATGGGAAACAAGGGAAGTATGATAAAGTTAAAGCACTGTTTGAAGAGATGAAAGCAGAGCGTCTTTCGCCTAATTTATTGACTTACTCAACTTTGATCAGTGTTTACTCAAAAGGTGGTTTGTATCAAGAGGCAATGGAGGTCTATAAAGAGTTCAGGCAAGAAGGGTTGAAAGCGGATGTTGTGTTTTATAGCAAACTCATTGATGCATTGTGTAAAAAGGGGTTAGTCGAGTCATCTGTGTTATTGCTTGATGAGATGACCGAGAGAGGGATTCAACCAAATGTAGTCACTTACAATTCTATAATTAATGCCTTTGGTCAGTCAGCAATTGGAGAATATGCAGAGGATGAGTCACAGGTTGAATCTTCACAGTCAATGGTTCTTCGGGATGCCTTTCAGAGCAAGGTTGAATATGCAGAGGATGACAGGATCATAAAGATTTTTGAGGAGTTGGCTACTGAAAATTCATATCATTCAAAGAATGATCACAGGGGCAGACAGGAGATTTTGTGTGTCTTGGGGGTTTTTCAAAAGATGCACGAACTGAAAATAAAACCTAATGTTGTCACCTTTTCGGCAATTTTGAATGCTTGCAGGTATAGTTTTCTGTCTGATCCCTACCATCCTTCACTAAATTGCATACCTTGTTCGGTGGAAAATATTGAAAGTGAAGAATGTGGCTGTATACCTAGTATCTGCTATTTTATCTAGCCTCTATATTATTTTCGTGACATGTTGTGCTGTTGTTAGATTTCACTTCTGCCTGTCTTGGTTTCACCTGTACTCTGTAGCCCATTATTTGGGCTGACCTTCTTACATAACTTGCTTCGTGAAACAGGCCAGTCGAGCACATGAATTGAAAACATTTCAGATGCTATTTATGCATCTTATGTTGAATAAATGATTTTGGAATACAATATGAATGTATGACCTGTAGTCCTATGTGCTAGTAATTGTACCACAAGCTGAAGTTGGCTGGACGAAGTCAAGTATGTGCTTAATCCATACTCATTTGGGGCTTCAAAACATCAACTAAAATTTTCTAAACTTGAGTAAATCTTTATTCAAGTTCATATTCTTGAAGTATCAATCAGTTACTGCTCACCATAAGGTAAAGTATGGGTTGCAAAAATATTTTATTTGATTGAGTTATCAGTCCAGATCAGTAACCTTAAAATCATAACGAGTTAGAAGATGTATCAAAAAAGACATAAAATACTCCTCAACAAGTCTCAAATCAATTATTGTTGTTGGATAACTTCTGAAACTATAATACTGTGGCTCATGTGACATATGCCTTATGGGACTCACAAGCTTACATTTTTGCACTGCTACAACAATTATGCTCTAGGTGGGTGAGGTGAGGTGGTTATCAAGTAATGGAAGTTATCATTTGTAAATCCAAAAGCCCAATGTTAAAAAACCTTTAAAATGTTGTAAGAAAGGAACACTCAAGTCATGCTGCAATATGGCGCAAAGCGTGTTTTTCTATATATTTGTTATCCCTGTCCTTTTGCAATTTACCTCTTCAGATGTTTAATTTTATATGTTGTGCCTTCTTGTTTTACTGGTGTTGCCTAATCCTAGGGCATTCCTCAAGGATATCTTTGAAAACTTTGTTTTAATTTGTGGCTTTGCAGTAGATTAAGAGCTAGTTCTCTATTATGTCTCCTTTGGTTCTTGTGCAGGCTAAGGGAGACTTCTATTAAATCTCCTTCCATTATTTTTACCAGTTATATATAAAAAAAAAAAAAACGCCCAATTATTTTTATCAGTTATATATATATTTTTTTTAGGTTGGGGAAAAAAAAAAAACGCCCAATTATTTTTATCAGTAATATATATATTTTTTTTAGGTTGGGGGGCGCGGGAATAATGGTAACCAAATTGTGTGTGTGCGTGAAGGAACCACTAATAGGCATTATGATTGGTGTTGTGATGCTATGGACGAGGAAATTTGAAGGATTTGTTATACCCAGGACTTGGAGATTGTCATCAGTGTATTAGAAGTTTAAACTTGCTGGTTTTTTGCCTGTGTCATTTTCCAACTTCTTGATAGCACTATTTTATGCATTTTGCTGAAAATTATGGTTTATCTTAGTCATTCAATTGGGTGACTTGTTGCAGCCGTTGTAATTCATTTGAAGAAGCTTCATTGTTATTGGAGGAACTTCGTTTATTTGATAATCAAGTCTATGGTGTGGCACATGGACTTCTCATGGGCCATAGGGATAATGTATGGATGCATGCTCTCTCTCTTTTTAATGAGGTGAAGCATATGGACTCTTCAACGTCATCTGCATTTTACAATGCGTTGACTGACATGCTATGGCACTTTGGGCAGGTATGTCTTAGTAATTGCTGTTAATTGAAGTTACATGGTTTCTATTTTATTTATTTATTTTAATTTTCCCTTTTTCTCGCTAGGTAATTGGGACACTATAAGGTCAAGGTTGTTTAACTGGTACATATTTAATGATTCCAATAGGTTCTAACTCTCTTTCTCTTGGATTGTGCTGGAATTGAAAAGTTGGCATCATGGTCGTGTGGTTCATACGTCATTTTGGCTATTGCATGGGGCACAAAATGGCTCCAGAGTTGCTGTTACCATTGTATCTAATAACTTGCCCCATTTACTATTTGCGTGTCCAGAGATACTAGTGTGTGGAGTTGCTAATTAAATGAAATTTAAATATTTATTTATTTTTATTTTTTAAATATCACAAAAGCCAGTGAAGAGTGTCCAAAGTTTTTGTAAAGGTCTCCAAAAATTTTCTGGTTGGTTGCCTTACATATAACTGAATTGTGTAGATGAAGGAGATGATAGAAATTCAATGTTATTCTATTTCACTTTTTGCAGCATCACCTTACTTTAACGAACACGATTCTTTCTCTGGTATTTGTTGCAAGGGTTTCTAAATCTCCGTTGCTTGATATTGTATAGACTGTCCTCTCCTCTGTTTTCCTTAGAACAGCTTTTATTTCTGTTTGTTTCAGTTTTCTCCTCCCAGTTCTCACCTCCTCCAACTGGAAATCTCCAAAGAGTTTCATGTTAACAGATCCCAAAACTTTTGTTCTTGACTCTGTATTTGTTTTCCTATAGAGACGAGGGGCCCAACTGGTGGTGCTTGAAGGGAAACGACGTCATGTCTGGGAAAACATATGGTCTGATTCTTGCTTAGATCTGCATCTGATGTCTTCTGGTGCTGCACGCGCAATGGTTCATGCCTGGCTGCTCAATATACGCTCTATTGTGTTCGAAGGTCATGAGTTGCCAAAACTACTAAGGTATATCATCATATCAAAAAACCATCAGATGATTCTGTACTTTCACCATTTAAAATCACATTTCAATCGGAGAGAGAATAGTCAACTTTTGTCGACTGTGCAGCATTTTAACAGGGTGGGGCAAACACAGCAAAGTAGTTGGTGATGGCACGTTAAAGCGAGCAATCGAGACACTTCTTACTGGCATGGGTGCACCGTTTCGGGTTGCCCAGTGTAATATTGGGCGGTTTATAGCAACTGGAGCTCTAGTGGCGGCCTGGTTGAAAGAATCAGGGACGATGAAAGTCCTCATTCTTCAGGATGACAGAAATCAAACTGAAACTGCAAGATTGGAGCATATTCCTGAATTGCAAACAATCCCCTTGTAGTAGGTTGTATTTCTATGTGGGTTTTTTTGTCTCTTTTTTTTAAAAAAAGGTCTTTGCTTCCAACGTTTGTATTCTGTGTAATTAAGTGATCCGAAAATCTACTCTCTCTCTCTCTCTTGTAAAACTCGCAAATGTATCTTTGCAGCTTCTTCAGTGAAAGCAAACAGTTTTTCCTCTCCTCGGTTTTACTGCAAATTGTAACTGAATGTATAAGAAACCAATGAGTTTAGCAGGAAGTACAATAACCATACTTTCAGGAGTTAATTGTAATTGAATGTATAGTCAGGAAGCCACACTTTATGTTGCATTTGTGTTTTAACATTTCCTAATGATGCTTACATTGCCAAAATCAGCAGTGTATCAAATCATTGATATGAAATGATATTTTTAGCCTTTGAACAAAGGGCTCGGGTTAAGGAGTCATTGGTTTAACTGTCGGGTTAACCAAAATTTAATTGTTTCGTAAATATATTCAAAGTTGTACAAAAATTAAAAATATAGGCAATGAAATACCCTAGGAGTGTCAGTGTTTTTTAAGAGCATATATTTTTATTTTAATGTTTATTGTCTTTAAAAAAAGTTATTTACATTGATGTTAGACAAAAAAATGCTATGAATGTAACAAAAATTACCAATTATTAAATTGTTAATTATTAAGTTCAAACTCAAAGATAATATAGCAAGATAGCACCTTAACATATAACAGAGTGTACAGAGTCTCTGTAATTTCAAGAGCAAGATCATCAAGATGGTTCGATTTTTCGCTGGAATTGCTCTATTGAAGGCACGTTTAATCCCACTTGTCCAAAACTTATAAAAAGAAAAAAGTTTGATGTCATCTGTGGTGGTGGCGTTATGTATGTACAATGTCAACAGTCTCGCCGACGATGATGTCCATAATACTATATACTAACAAGATGATGTCCATAATACTATATACTAACAAAACTTCAAACGCAGACACATAGAGAGAGAGAGAGAGAGAGAGAGATAGCGGTGGAAGATGGCATTTAGTTGGTTGAGATTAGGGTTGCAATAATGGGTGCACCGTCGTGGAGCATCCCTGGTCATGGTTGGTTGAATTTCTTTTGTCTATTGGCACTTTGGAAGAGATAGAGAGATAAGGGGATGATGATATGCATGCATTTATACCCCTTATTTCTGAGAAATGATTTTATGTAACGGGTGCTTACACTGCCTGAAGTGTATTTTTCTTTGCCATGCAACAATATTAGAAATACAAAAATCAAACATAGAATTGAACCCCAAAAAAAAAAAAAATTTGAATGGACAAAATTTCATCATTTTTTTTTTTGTGTTTTTCTATGTTTGATTTGTATATTTCTAAACTTATAATTTGTGTCATGTGGTAAATAGTATGTGTAATCTGAATTTGATATGGTTAAACACTCAATACTTTAGGTTGAGCTCCAAGTGACTTTTCGAGTAATTGAGCTCAGTTCAAAATATTGAATTTTTGGCTACATCAACTTTAATTTCACTTTTACCATATAATAAATAATAAGTTAAAAAATATACCACAATAGCTTAATCATGTCATATACTTGTTACATAAAATATTTTCTCCTTCTAATTGACCCCTATAAATACCACACTACATTTCTTGTATGCAGTAAACAAAGCTCTTGCTACTCTTTTCTTTCTGGTCCTCTCTTTTCGTTTGAGTAAAACGATGGGGAACGATGGGGAAGATTTTAAAGAATGGTGCAATGTTTGCTGTAATGGCGTTGGTGGCTTTGTTGGCGGTGGGAATAACTGAAGCATGGAAGTTAGGGGCAGAGACTGTTGGTGGTCGGGTTGTTGGTGTAGGAATTGGAGGTGGGTCTAGTGATGGGAAACGGGTTGGGAGGGAAGAGAGTAGTGAGAGGAGAAAACGTCTTCATCCTCGCACGGTAAGACCCACTTTCTTGTGTCAAACTAGAGAAAGAAATCTATAACAATAAAATGCAAGAAAATCACTACATCAAAAACAAATAAGGAGAGTTCATACAGCTCATGAATTTATCTTCTCTTGCCCATGGTCGTTCCACTTTCTTGCTTCAGTTGAAAAATCTATCTAATAAAAATAAAATGCGAATAAACCACATCCAAAAGAGAGAAAAAAAATAGAAAAGGGGGAGTTCATACAACAGATTCGTACAGCTCTTAATTTTAACTTGACTAAAACCTACATCATTAATGGTACATGAAATTCGGCCACCTAGTCCATTGTGCTTTTCCTGAAACTGGGATCTGTTGAGAGGTTTTGCTGGGCTAATAAAATCCAGATAACTAAAAAGCTCCTGAGACACATTCTCAAGGAGAGCATAAACATGGGGACAGCTTCACTTTCTGTTCCTGCTCTCTTCCCTCTCCTTTTCCCGTTTCTTGTAAAGCTTCTCAACAACACGCCGTGCCTTGCAAGGTGGAAAGTTTGCAAGGTCAAAGTAGTGTGGTGCTATATCAACTAACCTGAATCGACCCAAAATAGCAAAAACACAAAAGGTGAATAGAGGTGGAAAGTCAAGTAAGCATGTGATCCAACAAAAATACAGAACTTTCACAAATAACATACCTGTCCACCAGTAAAATATAAATTCCCAGTCCCGTTTTTAATAATAAAATATATATATAGATATAAAACAGTTAGGAACAATAGTACTTTATTCATAACAAAAATACTAATAATCCTTTATGATAGCAATAAAAGTGTTGTTAATCTGTTTCGATTACCCTTTAATGCATGCAGAAGGAGTCAACAAAACAAACAAGCAACCAACATGGATATTGAGAAGCTTCAGGTCTATCCATAAGACAATATGAATTGTCTTTACTCCAGACAACTGAAAAAATTGTGATGATTTTAACATCCAACCTGTCACAGTGTAAGAATTTATGTAATTTATGTATGTATTATTGATTAATTGATGGATTACAAGATTGTTGTATTGATGTTGTAAATTACAGATGGTGAGGTACTCATTATATAGGAGAGGATTGGGGAGTAGGTGAGTGTGTGTGGTAGGTGAGTTGAGTGGAGGTGGTAGGTGATGATATATTCTAACACACAGAAAAGAGGCAGAGACAGAGAGAAGGGAATGGCTTGTTTGAGAACGGCAAAAACCTGGTTTGAGTGGGAATTTTTCCTGTCCGTGCAAGGCAAACCTCAGTTTTACTAACATCAGGTCTAAAAAACATCTAGTTTTATTTTATTTTATTTTTTTGCCTCACCAATTTTCAGCAAAAGCTGGGTTAACTATCAAGAACAACAGAGCAAAGCCTATACATTGAAAACTCAAAATGAGGTCAACCCCAACATCCTTTCATCAGGCAGACAGAGAGACAGATAGTCCAAGCAAGCTATGATGTAAGGGTGGATATTTTCCCCAAACTGCTTCTAAGTCATCTACCTAATTCACGAGAATTTTTTGAGCCAATATAGAACTAGTGATAATAAAATCACTATTATGAAGGAATGGAGATAGAAATTAAAGAAGCCTTCTACAAAACAGAACAGCAACAAGCTTTATTTTTATGGAAGAATCCTCAATGCAAATGGCATTGACACTATTATAAAGCAGACACATCTGTATTAGACATGCATCAGTAACAACACATCTGAACACTCCTATAAACATAAATTTCAATCTTCTTTGCTCCACAGCTCATTACCTATCACTTCTTTCAGTACTAAATTTGACATCATACACTCGACAACTATGAGACAAACAAGAAAACAGACACTTAACGTAGTAGTAGAATTATGCATAATTTTTGTTCAGGAGATTTGTAGATCTTTACTTCCATATTATGCATAGTTAGTAATTTGCATTACTTCGTATTTCTTGCGTTAAGATCCCTTTTAAGTTGTTAATAACTGTAGAAATTTTTGTAGGATCTTGAAATAAGTACAGCAGGTTCAACGGCATAAACCTCATCTAAATGCTGCGTAATGTCCTGCTTTGTGATTTATAATAATTGGTGATTAATATGGATCAAAGACCGGTTTATCCCCACATTTGGTGTCAAGATATGCGCATTCTCGCTTTAAAAAATGATTTCCTATGTTGCAATGAAAAATAATTCTTGAAAGGAAGACAATAATAAAGTTTAATATCTCCCTCCTGATCATCTGCAACAATTTTTTTGACATTGTTAGAACCATCACAAATCAACAAGCACGATATGCGAATTCTCGCTTTCAAAAATGATTTCCTATGTTGCAATGAAAAATAATTCTTGAAAGGAAGACAATAAAGTTTAATACCTCCCTCCTGATCATCTGCAACAATTTTTTGGAAATTGTTAGAACCATCACAAATCAACAAGCACTCGAATTTTCCAAAATTAGACTCCCAGGTCTCCACATGATGCAAATAAACATGAAATGGAACAGGGTAAAATATGACCATCTAACATGTACACTAGATTAGGAATAATGCAACAGAATTGCCTCTTTTGTGACAACATAATACCTCAGTCTAAAAATTGAAGGAACATTATTTCATACCTTGAATTCAACCCTCGAGGGCCACCACAGTAATTGCATTTAGGAATCTTGGATGGCTGGCCACTGGACATGGGCGATAAGGGTTTAGCTGTTATATTTAAAGATCAGATCAATAATATTATGGAAGAAAACGTCCAAATAGGAATATCGAATTTGTGAAATGGAAATAATTTCTCAAACTCGAATATTTATTGGAACTCGTTTCAGTCCCTCCCAATCCCAACTCTCTCTCTCTCTCTCTCTCTGAACTCGTTTCAGTCCCTCCCAACTCTCTCTCTCTCTCTCTCTCTCCTTCTAATTTGCCTTTAAATTTAATCACTAACATTGACCCAGAATTTTCATTAATCACCAACAAAAACAAAAACAATTAACTGAAGAACGAAACAATCAAACAAATCACATCAAAAACGAGAAAACATGTTATGTTACAAACAGAAGCAAACTTCCCGATCGCATATCGACAGCCATCGCATTCAACGTCGCTCTCCCAACTTTTTCTTCCCCATCTCTCATGTCGATCATATATGTATTTTTTGTCATTTAGTTCCTCAAGTTTTAAATTGTCATTTTGATTATCAAAATTGTCAATTTGATCCTGCCTCAAATTGACAATTTTGAGGATCAAAATGACAAAATTTAAAACTTGAGGAACTAAAATGACAAGAAATGTATATTTTAGAGGACCAAAACTGTCTTTTATCCATATTCTTAATGTAGACGAACGTTAGACCTAGGATTAAATTGACTAAAATTGACAATTTTCAGTACCAAAATACAAAATTGAAACTTAAGTGACTAAACTGAAAAATAACACATACTTTAGAGACTAAAACTGTCTTTTGTCCTACATATATTTTTATCTCTATGAAATATCAAAGTAAAAATTAGTGTGAGAGAAATTTAAGATGTGAAAGTTATTGCAAGTTAGTGTTACATATATGAAAAATATTACTTAAAATTAGTTTGTGTAATATGCATGAAAAATATTATGCAAATGCTTAATAATTGTTTAAAATTATTCTTAGCAAATTGAAATCGCCCAAATAGCCCAAACCGCAATTTGACAATTTGTCATTCCGCCATTCACGATTTAGTTTATAACTTTATTCTTAAACCGCACCACGCACGCTCCTAATCAGAGCCAAGGAGGGGTGGTGGGTGGGGAGGTGGTGGTTAGGGAGTAGAGTTATTTTTGGTATTAAGTGGAAAGGTGTCTAAAGAATTTTTACAAATTTTAAAATTTATTGGTGGTGTTTTGAAATAATGGGATCCAAATAATTTAGGTGGGTATAGAAGCACCCTTCTATTTTTTTTTTAAAATGCTCTTTTTAATTTGATTTTTTCTTGAAATTGAATTGATATACACCGTGAGTGTAAATAAAAGTTTTAGGCAGGCATCTTGAAACACAGACAGTACTGGACTAATTTAAAAGGCAAAAAAAAAAAAAAAGAAAAAAAAGTGAGTTCATGTTTTGTAATTGGTAAGGTTGTGCTCATTTAATTAATGCTTTGTAAGGGTTGTATGTGCAAGTTAATTAATGCATTACCAAAACCATTTTAAGACCCTGTTCGTCTTGCACATAATCTCATAACAGAACCATTATAAATCATTTTATTTTTCAAAGCATAAAGTAACAACAAGATCTGTTTCATATGGTTGATGTGTAAATGATTATAGATTAGAGGTCACTTTCTTAAACATGTCCCACTAATGATGAAGCTGGAGGATCAGGATGGACTGAGAGAGACTTCATTATGATAAAATTTAATTACTTTTTAATGGTAAATTATTTTAAATGTCAAAAGTGTTGTTATATTTTTTAACAATGAAATTGAACATTTATTAATGAATTACTATATTTGGGATCAATATTTTTGTCTTAAAAAGTATAAGTTTTTTAGCATCAAATTGTTTTGTCAACAAAAATGCAATTATTAGCGACATTTCTAAAATTTATTTTTAAATGTCTTCTTTTTTTACTTTTTGAGATAACTTTTATTGGTGATGTACATAACAATTGAAATTGGTCTCCTAAAATTCTTTACAATAAAATTTTCACATTTAAAGACGAAAGTTCTTAAAACTTTCATATGTTGTAGTGTGGTCTAGTAGCTAGTTGCATGCACCTTTAAAATTTGCATTAGGCCTCACTAAAGCCTCTTAAAAATGATACAAAGCTCATATTTGTGAGAGGAGATTATTTGTTGGGATTTTTGTTGTACGAATATCTCTTGTTCTTTTATTCTTTTTCTAATACTCCTCCCCACTACATGATCAAGTCAAAGTAACTTTGTTTGGATTTCTATTTTCTCTTATTCTAATTATAAAATGCCTCTTGTTGTGCCTGTGAGACCAATAACGAACACCAAACACGCACACAGAAAATAGAAACATAAGGTTTATGTGGTTCGACAATGCACCTATGTCTACAGGTAGCGGATTTCACTATACAAAGAGAAAGTAAAATATTACAACAATGGAGGAGGAGGGAAAAACACTCTCACTCTACTCACAGTCACACTCACTCTGTTGCTTACACTCTAATTTCACTCTCTTCTAATTGCCACACTTGAACCCCTCCAATACACTACCCTTTTATAGATGCAGTGGGAGAACCAAAGTCTTCATAGCCATGGACAAGCCACCCACAGCATTTGCGGCAACCACCATCAGGATCTGAAGATCAACCACTTTACCATGAAGTAGCTCGGCTGAAATCTTTAGCTCCTTCATTTGTCTTCATCAGCAGCTATTGTTAACTTTGGTGAATCAAAGTCAATCAACAGCACGTCTCCATTGGACGATCAAGTCCTTGTTCAAATTTCTCATATTCTCTTTTTCTATTACTCCTCTCCGCTATATGATTAAGTCAGAAAAACCGTTTGCAAGGTAAAGAGGTGATTTCAAACAGGAATACAAGTTAGAATCCAAACGAAGGATTTTGACCTCAGATGCTTGTTTACTTCTTTTGACAATAAACATTGCCTAAAAAGAGATTGTCACCCAACCAACCACACCTATATAGGATGGTACAAGCTGGTTTCTAAATTCCAAATCAATAAAGAGATCTTAGTAATTATGAACTTTTTCCTTCAAGATGCTTGTTGGTTGGGACAATGTAACAATTCTTTCAATATGATGATTTATCTTTTGTCACTAAAACAATGTAAAGGCATTAAGATATAAATGATTTCCTCCTTTACCTTTGGAGGCCACTTGCGCATCCTAATTAAACTCTTGCATGTTTGTGCATACTGACAATTTTTTAAGGTCACATTAATTGCCATAACTAATTACAAAGTAAGAAAAAAAAATCAAACAAAATCAAATGTAAAGCACAACCAAGACTATGCCTAGTCGGCTTTCTGTTTTTGGATTATTTTAGTGCACTTATTTTAACAGTGACACTTTAGTTTGGGTGGAAAAATTAACGGTGTCACTTTAATCCACAATTATTTGAGAGTTTTTTAGTTATATTTGAACCATAGAGAGTAAAGTGTTCCGACCTCAAATCATGAAGGGACAAAATGAATTTTGCATACTCAGATGTGTTTTTGATTGAAGAAGAAGAACAAAGCTCTTAATGTACAACACAGTTCATGAAAATTGATCAATTTGTCAAATCAAAGACAAAAATTTGCCAAAACATAAAATGACTTAATCCAAAAATTCAAACCAAATGGGGAAAGGGATATAAGATTTTGTGATCTGGGCAATTCTATGCTCTTTCACAAGAGAGAAAGGAAATAATTCAACGCATATAAAGAGGCGAGAGAAACATAGGGAAATTGTTTTAGTGGCAATGGTCATCTCAAGTTGGTAAATCTAAAATGGAGGAAATTGAGATGTGTCTATTGGCATAATTCTAACACTCAAGTTTTTTTTCTCTATTTTCAGCAAAATTTAAGATTCACAAACACAACCAAAGTCATAGTCATATGATCATTATCTATATGGTTCAAAAACTAAACATGTGATACCTATAGTCCTGATGACCTCTCTGCTGCCACCTTGCTAATTTGTAGCAATCTCTAGTCCAGGTCTATCATAATAGCAGAGAACACCACATATCAAATGCCTTTCAAAAATTCAATCATAACATCGGAAAAGTTTAGTGCTCAATTGAGCATATAAAATCACCGCAATTAAGTATGATAATTAATTCAAAACAATAAGATAAAAGAACAAAAAATACTTAAACTGATATGGGATGCAATAGTACAAAAAAAATATGAATTTATTTAATTTAACTAAGCATATTATCAATGACACAACATAATGTCAACAAAAAAAAAAAAACAAAAAAAAAAGTTCATACAACAATCCCTCTTGATTTGAACACAACATTTAGATTTGATAATAGGATAAAAGAATAAAGAAATCAAATTCCAAAGCTATATTCATATCCATATGATCCAAATCCTTCTCATGAGTCTAGTAAATGCATGTTTTCTAATCAAATTTGTATGGTCTAGACAAATCCTTAATATATTTCTATACAGAATCCAAATCCACCTACAGACATTTTAAAAATATTTTTGTTATTCTTTCAGCAAGCATATATAGATTCAAATCCCTCAAAAGAGAATCATAATCTATGCTTCATTTAAAATATAATCCACATCCTTAATTGAAGATACATCGTATGAGAAAGATACGCTCTTGGTTTCACCATTTACATATCTATTTTAAGGTATATAAACAGTGATTTTTCAAGATGAGAAGTTTCAACTCTCATCTATAAGTTTTGTCTAATATGTAATATGGAGAGGAGGATTCGGTGTTAATCGTCATCATTTCAAGGAGGGAACACATTTACTAATCACCGCCAAAATATATAATTGTAAATGCCTAAATTGTTGTGCTATGAAGTACCTAAATTAATTAATTATGAGTTGATTTGCAGAATATTATTTGGTACAATACTAGAATACTGCCATTATATGTTAGGCTAAAAATTGACCTTTTACTACAAGCTGGCACATGCAGCAACAACAGATGGGCTATCAACACCACCAGAAAGTGGAAGCAGAAAACTAGAAGCCCCACTTCTTAAATAATCCCACAACCAAAAACTAGGTCCAAAGGCTACTTCTTCCTCAGGAGAGTGTTATCTAATCTAAAAATTATAAATGATGTTTAGAGATGCAAAGTTAAAACCACAATTCAATAGATATATTCAGCAATGCAAACGCAGCTCAGAGAGGCCACTAGAATTGTGGGGGAGAATGCTATATAAAATATATTTAATAGCTTTAAAATA